CAAAGTATTTTCCTTGCGTTTCTTTCCTCTCCTCTCCTACTCCAGTCAGCCTAGTAAATGTTCATTAGTAAATGTATCAAATTCTTGTTCTGCAGTTCCCCTTAGGTAAATAACAAATTGGGCTTTTACAGTTGCAAAGGTACAGATAGTCAGCTGGTGTAAGCTGCTTTCACTTCAGATGAACTTAGGTCTACTAGCATCCAAAATGCTACTTACCCCACTGTGTGTTAAAAACAGTAAGTAACCTGTTCTTTAAAATGTCCATTTTTACAACTGTCACAAAAGACTATTCATTTTAACTGTTTGACTTCAGTTAAAATACTATGTTTCCAACCTTATAAAGTATTTTGAGTCCTTTTTTAAAGAAAAACAACAGCAACAAACAAACAAACCCAGAAATATGCTTGCCCCAAATGCTCAGAGATCTAAATTTAAAAAAAAAAAAAACCAAAACCAAACATTAAAAAACCCTGCTCAACTAAATGGGTTACTAGTAAAACCCCAAAACTGAAGCATAGCTTGGAGGCATGAGAACACCAGGACGTTGTTAGAAATGCACATAACTGAAGTAATTGTGTGTTCAGGCCCTTCCCCTGTTTCCCCCCGCCCAGTATTTTCATCAGCTGAATTAATGAATTGCAGAGCCTTATAAATGAAAACTGTCTTACAGCTGAACGTAGGTGTCCATACAAACCAGCATGGACCTCACTGAGTCCCAGCAGACTGCTGGGATCCTTCTGTAAAGATGTAGCTGCTGCTTGAAGGCCAAAGGCCTGATTTGTAAAGCTCTAAAACTCGGTCATCTCTTCTTGTCCTAATGTGTTTGGGACTTTCAAAACAGGGTGGTTTTTTGAATTTTCATAAAAACTTGGAAATTTTGCTGGAACAAGCTCCAAGAATGCTGAAAAGGAAGTCAGGCTCTGACCTGCTGGAGTCTGCCCAGCAACTGGCATCTGGCAGTAGGCTCAGGGCTTCCTTCAAGCACTTCATAGGGCAAGAGCCTTAAGTTCATCTTTTCATTTAGGATGTAACTGAGAGAAATTGAAAAAAGAAGACCTCATTAGAATGACCTCAGGGAAAGTAGAGGTTCACTCACAAATGGCATAAGCAGTACTCAGACAGACTTATTTTAAAGCCTGCCATTTATTTAGAAATCAGTGTCAGTGCTGCTGAATATTCAAAGGGAGATTAATTATGTGATTCTTAGACAGCAGGTTGACTTAGCAGAGATCATCACACTGTCATTACTCCTACGTCCGTCTGGTGACGGCGCCCAGATCGACGTGGGTTTCTGCATTTAGCAATCCTGTAGTAGCTCTCTGAAAACGTCTGTGCTGTAGGCATGTTTGCATTGAAGTCTTTACTGAACAAAATACTGTAATGAATATTTTAAAATAATACCTCCAATACCTTCTAACATAGATTAAGAACAAGACTTCTGAGGAGGAGGGGCTAATGATGCAGTGGCTGGGAACAGTAATATTTTGAAGACCATTTCTCTCGGGCTTCCTGTTTGCTTCTGGTGTTTGGTTGCTTTTTTGGGGTAAAAACAATTTGTGACTCTTTGGAGACAAGTAATTTACTTAGGTTCTTTTTACTTCTGTTGCTCCCTGTGAAAGGTCAAAATACTCACAGTATTTTGTGCTTTCAATACCAAACTTACACACACACACCCCAGTTACGTGATATTTAAAGGGGTGTTTATTTTGCCCTGTGGACAGAAAAAGAGGAAAGAAATCTACCCCATAGAAGTGAGGTGACCATGTTAGGTGTCTGGATTCCCTGTATTCTCTGTAGCTGATAGAAAGAGGCGGCGGCGCCTCTGGGAGGTGACTTAGTCCACTGAAAATCAGAGTCTGCATAGTGGAACAAGGTAACATCATCTTATCAAAAGCTGGGCCACCCTGTTTTGTGCACTGATACTGGGTCAGATACTTTCACATCAACTCAGCGTACCTAGTCCTATAAATATGCAAGAGTTTAAGCATAAGTACCTGCTTTCAGTCACAGCACCAGATGTTTGTGGTTTGCATTGTCAGAGGATGAATGATAAGAAATATTGTAATTTCAAGTGAAGTGAATAGATGATTAATTTATGACAAGGTTTTTTTCAGTGGTTTAGATTTCTCCATTCAGATCTGGAATGCTTAAACTCTGCTGGCTTTGTTCTCTGTAGGGTCACACCAAGATCAATGCCTTCAACTGGGCTAAGGTTCGAAAGCTGAGCTTCAAGAGGAAACGTTTTCTTATCAAACTACGGCCTGATGTGAATGTAAGTCCTTGTCAGGAATCGATGGAGTTGACAAAAGGTTATTTGGTAAATGTCTACCCACAGATCAAGCATGCGTTTTTGTCACTTCAGGAAGATTTTTTTTTTTTTTTTTTTAATTAATTGCTTGTGTTCACTGTTGGTACTGCACATGTCAACCTGGCATCTCAGGTGAGCAGTCCCAGCAAAGGAGATGTAACCTGAATGTCTGGCTGTGACTCTGGCACTATGTCATCAATTCTTAACTTTTAGCATGTAAACCACCTCTTATTGTTAATGTTTAGACCTCTGCTTTATCTCTGTCATATTTGTCAATGAAAGGAAGTTTGAGCAATAACTCTGATACTGCCAGGCAGAGATCAGTGATGTCTCAAAGTGGGAAGGATAGGGCCTATTAGGCCTGAAAGCCAATGAGTTGGGGAAAAAGCTTTTTTTTTTTTTTTTTTTGTAGCATAGAGGCTGCTTTGTCAATGCAAATCCGTAATTTGTGTTGCTTGCTTGCTTACATTGCAAATGCTATCTCAATTTTCAGAGTTCATTCCAGGACACCCTGGAATTTCTTATGGCCAGTCGAGATTTTTGCAAGTCTTTCTGGAAGATCTGTGTGGAGCATCATGCCTTTTTCAGGCTTTTTGAGGAACCTAAGCCAAAGCCTAAACCTGTTCTTTTTTCTAGAGGTTCATCATTTAGGTTCAGGTAAGACTTGCATTCTTCTCTCCACCTTTGTTGCCTCCCCATTTCAAAATCACGTCCATAATGATCTGGGATTAAAGACATTATTTTCAGCCTCTCTTTCTTTACATTGTAGTTTGCTCCTTTATATTTTCCATTGCATATTCTGAGCCAGAACAGTGGAACGAACACTGCATTCATTTTGTCGTAGCTGTTGCAGAGTAGCTAAGATATATAGAGGTTCCAGCTGGTTTCACAGAAGAAAATCCACCTGTGTCCTAAGCAACACTAGCTAGCAACCTTTTGGCACTCTGGATCCTCTGCTTCTAGGATGGGATCATTCCTATGTATCAGAGTAGAGATGTATTTTCATTGCATGTCCCAGTGGTAAACCCCTCGCTATGCAGTTAAAAGCAATGGCTTGTCTTTATGCTGAGACCTTCATGCTTGCAAAGTGTTTATGTGAGATGACCACCTACACTAAGACCAAGTCTACCTGCACTGTTTTTAGGGCTGTAGAAAGGCTTATAATAGTTGGGTTATTGGTTTTTTTTTTTTCTTACTCTGGCAGAAGCTTCATCGTAGATACTGTATTGCGTGTGCCAGGGGGGAAATCCTTTTATTCGCACATTTTATTTTGTTTGCAAAGCTGATACAAGCTGAGCAGCCAGAAACCTTCTTTGCTGAGATAAACTGTACACTCTAGTTGCCTTGCACAAGAATGTAGTAGATATGGCCATGCTCTCTTCCCACTTCGTTTCCTGACTACAAAGTAAATTAATTAAGATGGAAGGACCTGTGTGAGGGTAAACAAACTATAATTGTTAAGCTTCTGCCTGAGTAAATAGAAGACTGTAGGTGCATTGAACTTACCTCCTGGTTTGGCGAGCAGGTTTTGGCTACATCCTCCACTCGCTGTGAGCTGTGCTGCATACATGTAGTAGTTTTTTCCAGGCCTTGTGGTAATTCAGTTAGTTTAAAGCCTGTAATGAATGGGAAGGATTTGGATCTCTGTTGAACATTCTTGAGGTGTGGGTTTCCTTTACTGCTCTGGGTTCCCTTTCGAGTTTATAGCTGTGCACAAGAGGAAGTGCTGGGCTTTCTCACTTCTTTTTCATGGCCTGTAGCAGAAGGGGAGAGTGATTTCCAGCCTAAATCTCTGCAGAAAATGTATGTATGTTTAGTTGATGTGTTTCATATTAGCAACTGAGTCAAAAAATGCATTTCAGTGGTTTTCATCTTGGTTCCAGGGTTTACTGATACCAGGTAAGGCTGGTATTTGGTTCTCAAAAGGATTCAGGAATGTTCTTTGCTCATGAGAGGAAAACTTAACCCTTGCTTAACTTCCTACTCTGGTGACTTCCCAGTAATGTAGTACCCTATAAAGGGCATACAAGTAAATTTAAGCAGTTCTGAAATGGCATCAAAAAGTAGCTCCGTGGCAAACAAAAAGAGGTAAGTAACAGGCAAAATGATAAAAATCTGTGTGTACCTGATCAGATCCACTTATGATCTTAACAGGAGTTTCCGCTGATAGCGACAACTACTGTACTGGTTGCTGTGACTTCATATGCAGGCCACACACATGCTTGTGATGACCAGGTGGTATATTGTATTAAATGTGGCAAATTCAGTATCTCAGACTGATACTTCAACTGTGGTTTTCTTGCAGTGGTCGGACTCAGAAGCAAGTTCTCGACTACGTTAAAGAAGGAGGACACAAAAAAGTGCAGTTCGAAAGGTGAGAGGAAATAAATGAACTATCCCAATATGTTTCAATCAAAGTCGTGATTTCCAGTTAGTTATATTCTAAGATCTTGGCACCAGGCCAAGCGAAAAATTCCTTCTTTGCTGATTTGACAGTTTATCACTTGTATAATATCCCCTTGCTCCTGAATGTTTTGGCAGAAGTTGATGTAACCTGTAGTTTACTTAAAATCAATAGTATTCAATCTTTTTTTCATCAGTGAGTGTCCTACCATCACAGGTAACTTCCCATAAGATTTTCACCCTTTTCGGTGGGATGTTAATGTATGTGAACAGACATATTCACCTCAGAATAAAATGGAAAGTAACAGCAATAGGTATAGCCAACTTCAAGGGAGAGGTCTCCAAGGAAGGCTTCCAACTTGCTAGAGCCGGTTCTGTCTGAACTAATCTTGCTCGTGGTGAGCTGAAAGCAATGGCCAAAATGCCACAAAGACCATGACAACAGTTCATTGCCTATTGACTCACGTTCTGGTGATAGACCGCTTTTGCTTCAGTGCCTCTCCCTTTTCTTACAATGGTATGTTTGCAACAGATAGCGCATTTAAATTTTACAGAAAGGAGAAATGTTAATCTGTTCTGGAGCAAACTTTTATGAAAGCTGCTGTTCAAAGGTTTTGTTTTAAAGGAGGCATGTCTCTTGATTCCCATTTGTAGAAAAAACTGAAATGGCTTCTTAGTGCAATTTTTCCTTTTCTCTTCAGGAAACACAGCAAGATTCATTCCATCAGGAGTCTGACTGCACAGCCTTCAGAACAGCATACAGAGGTGCCAAAACAAGTCAGTGATGTTGATGAAACCCTGAAATCATGCTTTCTAAACATTTCTTGTTACCCTCCACTGATTGCCGTATTGAAACTCTAGGAGCATAGTTTTCTGCTCGCTTGCCCTTTAACTGGGAGCCCTGGGTGTCATAAGTTTTAGGTTCTGCAAGTGAAACAGGTTCATTTCCACTGCGGAGCAGAGTTGCTTCCAGACAACCAGACAAATATAAATAGTGAGCTTGTCTGAGCTGTACTAATGACCATCTGAAAAATTGCAATCCTCAGTGTTACTGCTGGGGTCCTAGGTTGTAGCTGGTTATTGCATCTGGGAAAAATTTAATTCTTTTCCTTCACTAGAGGGTCTTGGTTGCCCGTGATGAGGTGTTTTGTTGTATTAACCAGGGAGGAGAAGAATTACTTCCTCAGAAAAATTACAGCTCTGCACTTTTAAGCTATTATCTCTGGTAGATACCTAATGTATTTGTCTTATGTTAATAGTTGTTATGCACTAGGAGTTTGCAAATCCAATAGCCCAATAGTGGCAATGTGGCAGCAGCTGCATGTTCCCAGAGCCAGCTAATAGTAAGGCTGAGCATCTATTCACAATAGGTACCCACATAAATGCAAATATACGATATATATACACACAGCCAGGCACACAGGTAAATGCAAACAGAAAACAGCACTCCCGCAAGCACAAACAGTGCCGTGGCTTCACCCTGTTCTTCTCTTTGGCTGATCAGGATCAAAGTTACTTAGTGGAAAATATGTATACATATATATGACATGGATCCCTCCTGCAACTCAACTTAGACACTCAGTCTATCCAGTAACAGACCCCTGGATCCTCAGGTCTCCCAGTGGCTGATACCTGGACATACAAGCCCCCAAGGCTCACAGCCCCGTTTCAGTTGTCGGTACTCAGATCTACACACGCACACGCTGTGGGTTCCTCCAGTAATTCATCTTAGACATCCAGTCTACCCAGTTACTGACAGCTGGGTACCCTGGTTCCCAGTTACCTCATGCACAGACACATGCACATCAAAGATTTCTCTCCAATAGCTGGTCCAGACTTGTGACATTACCAATAGTTGACCCCCAGGTCCCATGGTGGCCGAGTGTCTGGCCAGACTTATGGCTGCTCCAGTACTTGGATCCCTCTTATCCTAGGGATAACTCTCTTATCCTAGTCACCAACTAGTCCACTTCAATGTTTGCTAGCAATTGCACATTGACCTACCCACCCAATGAGTATGTACATGCTCTGGTCTCTCCAGTTGCTGGCATCCCAGACACACCCAGACCATGGGCTGATGGCTCTACTGGGACAACCCCCAGAGGAGCCAGGTCAGAGAGCTCCATTTCCCTGACTAAGTTATTGGGGTTGCTCCACCTGCTAGCGTTTCTTTGTGCTCATCTGTGTTTGTGGAGTCAAACCTTTAATCACCTAACCTTACGTTAGGTAGAGCTTAAATGGCAGGAGCAAGCTACTAGATTAATGTATTTAAGAACGCTACACGCACCTTTGCCTTCCTTGCATTGCTTCCTTTTGATAATCACAGGCTCTCTCATTGCTGCAAATGTAAGAACTTCAGAGAATTCTGCTATAAATGCAGCCCATTTCAAATATCTTTTAGCATTTCAATATTGCTAAGCCAAGCTCAGGTAGATGGAGCATGGCTACTGGGCGTATGCGTCATATTTCTGTGTGCAGAAAAGCCAGCCCAGGGATTAGAATTAGTGATCAAATGTGGGGTGTTCAAAAGCCCACACGTGGATTTTTAGTGTATGTAAGTAGGCTGTGCAAAATTTGTCTTATGCATTTATCTTTTTTGTCCCTCCAGCTTCTCAGAGTAGTGCAAACAGGTTGATGTTCTTGGTGTTGATGGATGCCTTAGGGCATTGAAACACCTCAAATGCCCCTTTTTACGTATCACCACATTCCATCTGGCTTCTCTTCCCTTGCTTAGTTTATGTATTTTTCTGTTCTTAAGATCAGAGACCTCTTTTTTTTTTTTTTTTTTTCCTAATAATTAATTTTGAAGCTTGGGTTACCTTTTCCACTTTCAAGAGACTCCTGTGTTGCTGCAAGATGCAGTGCAAAATTCTGGTGCGTAATTACACATAGCCTTTTCCCTCTGGCTCCCTTCCCTCCCAAACCTCTCCCCTCCCACCCCTTCCTCCCCCTTTGTCTCCCTCTTGCCTTCCCTCCTTTATCTTTCCAGAGCTCTAGCTTTGCCTATGGAGACGACAATGATGCTGCAGCATTGCAGAGCTGCCGGCAAGGGAAGGAATTGAAAGCTTCAACAGAAGACACTGGACAGCACAAGAGCCCTTCCTTGAAGAAGAGCCCCAAGGAAGGCAGAAAGGTGGATGGAGCAGTGGTGTCAACAGTGGAGGAAGAAGAGGAGGCTGCTAAGGACAGGATGCAGCAGAACAGACCTCAGTCACAGCAACCAAGCACAGGTCCAGCTTCCAGGGCTGCTCATGGCAGCAGCACCTCCATTCCTTTCATTGACTGCAGTGATGTAGATAGCGAGTATGATCTCCTCAGAGGACAAATAACCCGGTCATATTCCCAAACAAATGACAATTATGAGGGTGATTTGACCAGTGGTGCCTATATTCACTATAGAGATGAAAATCGCAATAGAACTAGGTACAGGGATTCCTCAGCCTCTATAAAGTCTTCCCAATATCTCTCTGAAGAGTACCTTGATGATAACCCAGCTAATCTGTCCTTCTACACTGGGGGAAGCCCCAGGATGCCAAGGCACAGCTCACTGGTTGACGAAATGTTTAGAGGGCCAGGGAGCCGCAGTCCGCTGGCCACTCCATTGCCTCCCAGTAGCAAAGGGTCAAGCCCTAACATGAGCCTGAGTAGAACTGGCTCTCAGGGTTATGTCTCAGAAAATGGGCATGACTGCAGGGTGAGGACTGGGGAGGAGGATAGCCATGCCAGTAGCTGCCATGGGTATGGCAGGTACTCTCCAGGCTCTGAATGGCCTCGCGCACAGAAAATCCAAAATCTCTGCAATAAATCAGTTACAGATCCATTTATCCTGAGCCAGATATCCTCAACCCCTGGGCAGGAGTATAGATCAGAGAGATCTTGTAAAGGAGATGGGGTGGCTAAGATGTCTTCTCCAGAAGGCAAAATGATGGCCAACGGTATGCCAGCTGGGGCACAGTCAAAGCAGAGCCCAGTCATGCAGTCGCTGCGTGCCAGTGGCATGATGGATCACACAGCTGCAATCCAGATGATGGAGGTCTCCACCAGCAGTGGGACAGAATCTAGCGATTCTGACTCGGAAATCATTAACCCCTTCACTCACCCCCTGGTGTTTGGAAATCCCATTGTGCTGAGTTCCTCTCCCATGCCTAGAAATAAGTACTCCTTTGGAAGCCTTCAGCTTGATGAGGAGGTAGAGGAGGATGTGTCTGTTGGCCTCAGTGATGAAGATGGTGTGCAGGTCTTTAGCTGCTAGGGACTGGGGCATATGAAACCAGTGGATACTGTGATTACTCATTAGAGTGATTGCATCTTCTGGGGCTCGTGAAGAGTGGCTGGTAATAATTTCAGCGCATGGGCTATTTCAAATGTTATCATTGCGCTGACCAGCCAGAGGGAAGGGATGCTAGAAATACAATAGTAAGAGTAAGTCTCAGTGAAGCTTAACAGTAATGCATCTCCTCTGAAAGGCAAGAGGAAAATTATTGCTGATTTAGGTACCTTTGTAAGACTTTATACACTCACCTGTTCTTTGTATGAAGTCATATTTTAGGTATATATTGTAGCTTCTTTGACACTTGACTAGTTATTTTGACAAAACAAACAGAAATTAAATTAAGTAGGTATGTTGTGCTCTTTTGTATGTCTATTACAATATTTTTTCTCTCCTGTATAAGGAGAGCAACTTATGAGTGCCTCAACAAGGTTAGCAGAAAAAAAAGTAAACTTATGGCCAAATGCAGGCAGCTTGATATTCAAGACTTGTTGAAATCTTGAAATATGCTGGAAAATCTTTTCATAGCAAGAATGTGTTTGGTCTACTCATCTTCATAACCCATTTTATAATCTTACCTGATGAACTGAGGACACAAATTAGGCATGTATACAGGAAGAATGACAGTATTGGCTTTTTCTTCAGTGGGTTCAACAGGCTGATTTGGTGATGGAGACTTTGGAACTCCAAACTCTTCCTTGGGCAAGAAAGAGAACAAGATGAAAGATACAATTCAAGTGAAAAAAACTTAGCTTGAAACAGCTCTAATGAAGAGTGGTAACCATATTACTTGCAAGGCAATCCTTTCTATCCTTTTTCAGTGTTATATGAAGAATAATTGCAAGGGATTTTTTCCCCTTATTCTTTCAGTGGAATTATTCACAGAGACATCAAAGTTCTGTTGTGGATGATTTTGGTGGGGGGGTTGGAGATGGTGGCTGTTTGATTTTATTTTTTGCTTTGATCATGAAAAATCTTTATCTGTACAGGATCCAATTAGTCTGTGGTAGGCTATTTTTTTCAAGAGTGCCACCTCATAAATTTTTCATCCCCTGACACAGAGAATGATGGGACTAACTGTGGTCCAGGCTGATTGTCTTCTGTACTGTACATAGAGTAGTGAGATTTTGGCAAGTGTGCAGAAGGACAGAGAGACTAATTCTTTGTAAGCTTCCTTTTCACAGGCTAAAAATATCGAGAATTAAGGCTGTATCCTAGTAAAATCTGATTCTAGTTTCTCCAAGTTAATTAAGAAAATCCAGATGAAAGGTCTCCTGTATGGGAAGTGTCCTGCAGTTACTAGAGCTGGGAGACAAGATGTGCTTTTTAACACTGGCCTTAATTTTAACTTTTATGTATTTTTCTTGTGGGGGAAGGGAACTGAATCTGAGAATTTTAAGCGGTGAGCAACAGCATTGACTGAACTGCTGGTCACTTGCAGTGGTCTGCATCATGCAGTACATGCATGCAGCAGCGAGGAATCCACCCAAATAAGTACTGATGAACAAGTTGCAAGACTTTGTAAATCTAGACAATATAAAATTTTCAAGATCGTTTTTACAAAAATAGTGAAAGAAATCTTTTTAATTTCTCTAATGCCTTGGTCTATGCACATTTTAACAGAGTTTAATCTGAGTGAAGGCTATTTAAAAATATATCTACAGTAGTTAGGCATGTCTTGTTATATACTTTACTTTTTTGCAGTAAAATATATTGTCATGTAAATACAAATTTTAACCTGCTCATCCCCTTTAGCGTGTTGATTTTCTTAAAGATTAGATACCTCATTTTTGAACTGGAATGATTTAAAGCATCTCTTTAGACAGTGATATTTTGGTGACAGGGAATGCTCTCGTTTGTTCCTGTAGTTTAAAGCATGAATCTAGAAACAGCAAGGTTGCTCATTAGGGAAAAGCTTGCTTGTATATTATTCTAAACAAAGGTGGTTTGTGTTTTGGATTTAGAATAGCTGTAAAATAATTGCCTTGAACTTCTCAATATTTAAGATGAAACATAGCTAGTTGAAACCTGTGTTAGCAGATAGTGGGTGCATGAGTCTCCTTTTGATTTTTTTTTTTTGCTGCCTGTGCAGCAAAACTACCGGTAGTTATATTATACAGTAAAGTAATAGCAATCTGGACAGATGAATTACTTCCTTTGTTAGCCAGTAAAATGAGAGTTCAAGTAATGGATTTTCAACAAAAGGATTTGCAGTTGTTTCTGCTATTTGCAAGTGGATAGATTTCATATTGTTTGGATTTAAGTGAATATAAAATTTCTTAAGTGGTGTTTACTATTTTACGTCCTTTCAAATACTGTTTTCAGGCCTGATTTCTTCTTCCGTATGCCTACAAAGGTAATGGATTTATAATTTTACAAGAACAGACCTGCTGGTGGTAGCTAGAATTAGCTTAGTTGCTAATAAAGTATCTCAACAGATTTTTTTTTTCTTTTGAATATTATTCTCAAAAGTGAGATGCGAGGATTCCGCTCTGACTATTTTCTGTCATCTGGCATTTTTTCAACTTTAAATGTTTAAGTGGTGGTTGTTTTAACACATGTGGAATTCTTCCAGTTTGAAGAAATAAAGTTTGTAAATTACATAGGAAGTAATTTAATTTAGGATGAATCATTTTTGCAGCATTCTTATGCCACTGAAGTTCAGTTTAATATCAGCAGACAAGCATTTAATTAAAAACAGTCTGTGGGCCAAATTCCTCCACCAGACATGTGGTTCATATCTGGGCGCTTGCCAAGAGTGGCAAGTGAGAGAGCAGTTTTAAATTGATGTTTTCACGTAGGATCAGGTCCTTCAGAATTGATCTGGGAGTTTGTTTCTGTGGGACAGATACAGAAAGGCCTTGGAGGAAAGAACAGAAACCTTTGGGCGAGACTGCGGATGAGATGAGACGGGGGAATTCTTGTCGTTCTAGTTCACAAAACACATGGGGGAAGAGGAGCCTGTCAGTTCAAGGTAGTCATTGCAAGCATTGATTAATCTGCCTACCCTGGTCAACAGCAGTGGTCTAAGCTTACCTGTGTCTCGAGTCTAACACAGGTAGCTAGAGACCGAGTAAAAGATTGATTTTTCCCACCAATTCCAGTAGATTTTGGAGTGTGGCTGCTGGTACTTCAGATTCACTGTTCTAAATTATTTTTTTTTTATTCACAGGAATTAACTTTTAAATCCCATACTCTTCAAGTGCCCACATATCCTTAGGCAGTTGCTACAAATGAGGGAGCTGAATCCCAGCAAGGTCGAGTAGCTACATCTACTCCAAATGAGTAGTCCTGAGCCACCCTTCTTCTGTCCTTCCAGAGGACAGGGAGGAAGCTTCTTGTTGGGCTGTGCTGCACCAACTCTGTCCACGTACTTGGATGAATACGGAGTCTAGTTGCAAAAGCTGTTCAGGGGTTTGTCCCAAAATAATGTGTGGATGTGGTTAGCAACTTAGTCTATGGATAAAAGGCACTCTGATTCTTTCTTTGCTATTCCAAGTATTTGACCATGTTCAATCATCTGTATAGTGAATGAAAAAAAAATCATATCGGACAATTTTAAGTTTTCTCTAGCTCACCAGGAGCTCAAACGTACGAAGTCCTGTTGACATAGTATGAGTTTTGGGGTTTTTTTCATATCAACCTTTCACAGAATCTGGTTTTCATCAGTGACCTGGGATATAAAATTTGGGAATAAATTTGGCTAGATGAAGGAAATGTGGGTAGTGGCAAGTTGATGTAGAAGCCAAGACCTTCGCAGGATATTGCGGGTATGGAGTTTTGAATAGTTGATATCTGAATGGCCTAGACTGCACTGTTTTTGGTTTAAGTCCATATCCCCTAGCAAGCATATTCCTTGTGCATGACCAAGACGAGTGTTCTCTGAAGGTGATTTGTGCCTAGTGCTGCCATTGCCTCAAGTCACCCATAGCTCATAGGCCTGTCTAACATGTACCATCC